GGGGGGGGGGGGGGATAACTTCATGCCATAAATTTTCCAAAAGCAACTGGCAAGTGGGGACGACATGCAAAAATGAAACTCTATATACATGTATAGGCCAACCCACCTATATTTGGCAACTATTCCATAATACGTATTCAGCGAAAAGTCACATAAATGCTGATAAAACTATTTTACATGATAGAGGACGTTATGTTAAAGGATCCAGCTGCACATTACCTTATGGTTTTAGCGGTCATTGTAAGGGTTGAAACCTATAGCTGACCTGTAGGCTGTACACATATCAGACGATAATGATTGCTCAAACTAAAGGGCAATATTTAAAATGCATTTTCGCAAGTAATCTAATAATCACTATAATCAAGTAAATGGAAAGAAGATTTCGTTTCAATTTTAAAGCAGAACCTACGTCCAAATTTTATGTGTAACACATCAATTTGCAGCTAGACCTTTTATACGCCTTAAGAGTCGGAACAATAGATATTTTCAAGAATTACTCACAAGCACACGTGCAGCACTACATGCACTGCCAAAATTTCAAACGAATACCGCATGTTCTGTCACAATCGACAAGACAATGATACGCATAATATATATTTTTAAATATTTTTAATAAATGCCGTATTGAGCTAGTATTCCAAAGGTCGTAGGTTCGATTCCCACCGTGGCCAGGCATATTTTTTCAAGCCTGCCGGTGTGGATATCCACTCAGAGTAACATCACAAGCATCAAATGCCGTATTAGTTATACAATATGAGATATGAGTGATTCTTCAACTTTTTCCATCGCTTCATTTGAAGTAATGGAAGAGTGGTTGTGTTCAGGCTGCTCCACCACATGATCTTGGAATATTTTGGATGGCTTGGTGTGGTTTAAGTATACAGTATGCATGCAGAAATACGTATTCAATTCTCAAGTCTGCTCCTACTGGAAAGACTCAAAGAGTTTTAAACTCCAAGTTACTTCTCTTATTATCAGTTAGGCTACGTATGACAAGTTATACAGCAGTGATGGACTATCTCCGCGTTTCTATGGTTTACCGAAAATCCAAAAACCGGAAATTCCATTGAGACCTATTGTGTCCTTTGTGAACATTCCCACATATGGTGGGAAATACAGGAAACACTGTCAAAAATCGCAGATCAAGTGTTGGTATCATTTGATGTTGTTTCCTTGTTTACAAAATTCCCAGTCTATCTTGTCATCAAGGTTGCGACAAAAAGACTAAGACAGGATGTCACTTTGTTACAAAGAACATCCTTGCCTGTAGAAGATATTATTGATCTTCTGTCTCAACACCACATACTTTGTGTTTGAGGGCAGTTATTATCAACAGGTTTTTGGAACAGCGATGGGGTCACCAGTATTGGTAGTAATTGCTAATTTATAGTAGATGTCGAACAAAGAGCTCGAGCCTCTGTTCCTGTATCTCTTTCGTTTTGGAAACGTTTCGTCGATGATGTCATCTCTGCTGTTTCTAGAAATGAAATCGATATTTTGCTGCAAAATTTAAATTATATTGAGCCGTCCATTCAGGGGCGCAAATGAGGGGGGGGGGTGTGACCTCCCCTAATGTATAAACATTCTGTCCTGACGGTTATTATAAAGTCGGTCCCAAACTAAATCCAGAGCCCGTTGTATGCGCGGTCCAAAGGGCGCGATGGGAGGCTCTGGTAAAATCACCGATCTGTATGGAACGTTACGGTAATTATATTTCGAAAAACATCTCAAAATAACAGTAAATACTGTATTTTTAATGCGTGCTATTTAGTCCAAGCAAGCATTTTTTGACGAATTTCCGCATTTGGAATTTTCTGTTGTTAAGGATGCTGCATTTTGTTTTGTTTGTCAGCTTTTCCCGACAGGAGCACATCATGAAAAGTCAAATGTTGTTTGGATTGGGGAAGGTGTTCGCCAATGGCATAAAAAGAAAAGCAGAGGAAAGTCCAAGCAAGGAAAATTATCCAGTCATTTTGGAAGCAATCGCCAATAGTCACAAGGCATCGTTAGAAGCACGTTTGAAGCAGTTTTTGTCATGAAATACAAATATTGTTGTATGAATGTTGTTCAATGTTGATATTTGTTTCGTCGCTATATAACAAAACACTTAACGTCTTTTCCCTCGGGAAATAGTTAGTTTTGTTTTCCCTCGAATCTCAATGTTTCCCTCGACTTCGTCTCGGGAAACATTGAGATTCTCGGGAAAACAAAACTAACTATTTTCCTCGGGTGCAGACATTAAGTGTATAATATGTTTTTGAGTGTCGTGTCGTATAAGTGCATAATTGTTTGCCTGACTGTATGCGGCGAATCTTGTAAATAAATAAATAAATAAATAAATAAATAAATAAATAAATAAATAAACATATAAATTAATAAGCATCTAGTATACAAAAAAAATGGGCATGCTGACAAATGACACCGGTTCTGAAAAGATCTCAACCTTTATGTACTCTAGTTGCAATCTCGTACTAAGGCCTGCAGGTACATGCAGGTATCATATTTAATTTAATACTATATGACAAATGCAAAAACAAGTTGTTTTTTAGTACTCAATGAAGATATATTTTATAAAATTAGGAGGTATTTAAAGAGCAATGGACCATTTGCATTATAGACTAAATTTTGATCTAGACAAAAATTTCATCACAGCTTGAAAGAGCATCACAAAATTAGTAATATTCCAAAGTTTCGTTGCGAAATGTTGTAAAATGCGGATAATATAGCCTCGCGAAGTTTGCCGTTTTTCAGTCATTTTGTATTACGCACGGGAAATTGCCAGCCCAATCGGGTGTTGGGGCATCAATTTCCCGTTTGTAATACAAAATGACTGAAAATTGCAAATTTCGCAAGGCTGTGTTATCCGCATTTTATAACAATTCGCAACGAAACTTTGGAATATTACTAATTTTGTGATGCTTTTTCAAGCTGTGCTAAAATTTTTGTCTAGATCAAAATTTAGTCTATAATGCAATGGTCCATTGTTGCATGGTGTAATATATAGGAACAATTGTTTTTAATAAGAAAATATAAGAACAAGTTAAGAACTAACTTGACCTGATCACACATTACCAGTGCCCATGCATCAACTTCAGCCTGACAAAAAATATAGTGGTTCTTCTATACGAGTTTCTTCTGTATCGTAATAATGTGGGTAACACCATTAAAGTGGTCACGGTGTGAATAACAAAATTTATTTCAAGTTTTTACAAACATTTAAGTATTATATTTCGCCGACTACAATGAAATTACTTAAAAAGTTCACTGTATGATTAAAACTACAGCAGTATAAATTCAAACTGTGCGTTCAAAATAACTATTTCTACATTATTACTTTTATATCTTTTTTCTACAAAGCAAGCACTATTGATAAGACATATTTATTTTGCAAATTACTAAATTAAAATATACCAGTATATACTTTACTTGTATTTAAATTCGTGTAGTGTTAGAATATTTGGCATTAGATTTTTGGATTGAGTTACATATAAAAGAAACTGTCCTGCTGATTTTCTCTTGGGCATTTTTGATTTCAGATTACGTGATCATTAGTAACAAAAAGTTTGTGAAAATTTTAAGTTGCCAATGTCATTTTAAGACGGAAAAATGATAATTTAGTCAACCTCCTTCCCAAGCCCTTATATCCGTTCTCGTTGCTCGCCTGGGAGCGGAGATACGACCCCGAATTGCTATTGGTATGAGGTTGAATTTTGATTTTTTGTACCGTTTTTGTACCGTTTTCAGCAAAGTTAAATCCGCGCAAAAATATCGTATTTTCGGGGCGGCGAAATCATATATCACGCGAATTTAATTAAGACTGAGCGAAAATTGGAACTACGCGAATTTTAGTGCAATTAAGGTATATACTGTTAATTTCAAAATAAGTATTTTTGTATTTTCCCCCTCTCTTTCTCTACAAAGCAAGCACTACTGATAAGATTATATTCAAATATTTCTTATGCAAATTACTATATATACATTCAGCCAGGGACGCCGCGAAGCTGGCGGGTGTGTGTTACCGTAAATCCTTTATTGAGACCCCTCTCAAAAAGCTCCCTGTCTAATAATCGATGTCCTCCTTTTCAGAACAAGAAATTTATTAACACCACCTTTCTCTAATAAACCATCCCTCTTTACATATAAATACATCAAGTAGTTCCCCTCTCCAATAAGCGACCCTCCCCCATCCCCTTCATATATAAACACATGTTTACCGAATAGATTTATTAATTAGACAAATTATCCTGGACGTTTATGTTAGCTTTTAGGCTACCACGTTTAGATATCTAAATCATGATCAGTAACTCCTCTTTTCTATTCTGCCCCCCTCTCCAATAAACATTCCCTCAAACGTGTCATAAAAAGTTGGGGCTTTATAAAGAAGGATTTACTTCACGAACGCAGTCATGTAGTGCAACACACATAAATTTTCATTGACAATTATATCATTGACATTGCAATTACGTTCCAGAGGCTTGGTTCATACTTTGGATTCAAAATTCACACAAATTTGCTATTAAATTCGTTGAGCAAAGCTCTACTTGATTTCAAACGTGAAAGCAATATTATATAGCATGCTTTGCTAGACATAAGTTTCATAATACTTTTAAACAGAATCAAACATAAAGACATTGTTAACACATTTGTTTCGACTGGGCGACCAGTATGTCGTATGAAACGAAAATGCACAATCAACATTTTTTCCATCTGACTGACAGATGTATGAAACGTCTTGTACAAATTTAAATACAGACACTAGTATGAAACAGACCTCAAGTGTGGAAACGATTTAACTGGCTGGTTGTGGGACCCTAAGGATTTTTTCTAATTTTCGAAACTCTAACAATGTATTTTGAGTATTTTTCGAAACGAAATTGTAAATGATTGAGTTGCCTTTCTTTCAAATATTTTTTGAACAAGTTATCATTCTAAAACACCGCATGTATTTTTATTCAAATTTCATGTAAAATTTTAGAATAAAAATCCACCAAGTGTTACATCCACCAAGTGTTACATCCATCAATAAAAATCCACCAAGTGTCATCCAAGTGTTACATCCCCTAATGCAACGTCCTTGCTTATGGCAAAAATTATGTTACTAAATTTACTAATGCATACACTATTTTACAACTTGAGTCAATACCGCTGATCTCAAAATTATCCTGGATAGAGCACCACATGCATAAATGAAGTCAACGACGGCCATATTGGTGTAACCATAGCAAATCTACAGTGGTGTTGCTGACATGCTAGAAGACGTTCTTAAAGTTTCTGGTGATTGGTAAAAATAAAAAAAATATTGCTTAGAGAGAAATTGGTTATTTGAGGCCTTTGACGGTTCCTTCTGAAATTTGCCAGTGAATAATTGATGACGTCACGTGACAATATGGCCGGCTCAAGTCTCATTATCACGTGTTTAAAACCATCTAAACAAACTCATAAGAAGAAGTGTGGCTATATCTTTCAAGTTACGTAGAAGAAGATATTCGCTTGATACTATAACTAATTTAAACACGTAACAATTTGATTTGTAAGGAATGTAACAGATTTAAAAATGTTTTCTCATTATAAATATTCCAGCTTCAAAATTAATTCCCTGAATTCAAAAGGTTGCTCTCTCCAGTCTTAGTTTTAAGATCAGTGGTCAATACCTTCATTAGTATTCACAATTTAGCTGAAGCAGTGGGTTTGACGTGTGATCACCATGGGGTAAGAACTCTATATAGGGCCAAGTTCCCAACTGCCGGCTTTGTGATTAATGTTTAAAATGGCTATCACCCATACGTCAATAATTTCAGAATCAATATCAGGTAAATGCACTAATATTTAGATATTTCTTAATTCGAATAAAAAAACTGACTTAAAGGTTTTGTGTAATATGTTAATGCGATGTTAATTTAAAGTTTCGCCAAGATATTTTAACACCTTATTATTCTATTTATACCGAATCTCAACTCACTAAGTTTAAAATTTGTACTTTTTAAAGCTTCACTAAAATACTTGAAACTTTCTGTTGTCTTATTTAGTTTGAGATTCAATTCAATAAGTTTACAGTTTTCACTTTTTAAAGCTTCACTAAGATATTCAACACCTTGATCTGTTATTTCACTGCGACCGAGATCCAACTTAACAAGTTTACAATTCTCACTTTTTAAAGCTTCACACAGATATTCCAGCCCTTGATCTGTTGTTTTATTTGAATAGAGGTACAATTCTTTGAGTTTACAATTTTCGCTTTTCAAAGCTTCACAAAGATATTCAACACCTTGATCTGTTATTTTCTTATAATCCACGTCCAATTTAACAAGTTTACAATTTTCGCTTTTTAAAACTTCACAAATATATTCAACACCTTCATCTGTTATTTCCTGATCACGGAGGTTCAATTCAAGAAGTTTACAATGTTCACTTTTTAATGCTTTAATAAAATATTCAACACCTTGACCTGTTACTTTATTATAACCGAGGGTCAAAATAACAAGTTTACAATTTTCACTTGTTAATGCTTCAGTAAGATATTCAACACCTTGATCTGTTATTTTATTACTCCAGAGGTTCAATTCGGTAAGTTTACAATTTTCATTTTTACATGCATTACTTAAACATTGAACTCCTTCATTTCCCATTCTATTGTTGCTTAAATCTAATTTGGTAATTTTACAATTTTCACTTTTAAGAACATCACATAAATATTTAAACCCTTGATCTGTTATTGATAAATTACAGTCCAAACTTAATTCAGTTAGCTTACAACTTTCACTTTCAATAGCATCTCCTAGATATGTAACACCTTGATTTCCAATCATGGTTTTAACAAGATACAATTTAGTAAGTTCACAATTTTTATTTATCAAAGCATCGCTTAGATATTGAACAGATTGATCGGTTATGTTCTTACCTTCTAGCTTTAATTCAGAAAGTTTACAACGTTCATCTTTTAAAGCATCGTTTAGATATTTAGCAGTTTGATCTGTTAGCCCAGCAGCTCTAAGTTCTAATTTAGTAAGTTTACAACGCTCACCTGTTAACGCATTACTTAGATATTTAACACCTTCATCGGTTAAATTCCCAAAGCACCAAGAAAAGGAGGTAATAGTGTTACCTGGAGTGCTAAATAACAATTTTTCCATTTTATGGTAGCCATATTTACCCTGTATTGTGCAATCATAAAATTGAAGACGTTCTAAATTCTTCCTATTACCTATAAACTCGAACAATGGTGCAGAATTGACTGGTGCAATATCTAAGGACATCAAGTGCAGTTCTCCATCTCCTTTAGCCAAACATTTTCTGGAAACTGACTTCATGATATCAACATCTTGCAATTCATACAGACACTTTATCCCAAGCAAAGCAATTTCGTTTTTGTTACTTTCAGCACTTCCTAATAAGAAGGCCCATTCTTCAAATCTAAATAAACAAAAACATCCTATTTGGAACATCCTTACTTTTCGTGCACGAAAATATATATTTCTGTATATTCCTGTTGCGCGGAAGTTTAAAATACAAAATTCAAACAACATTTAATTTTGAAAAAAGTTGAAAAACGTCCCGCAACGCCGAAGAACCGTTACAAAAAAAGGCAATACTTTGCTAATTTAGAAAGCGAAGATCTAAGGCACAAAGTATAATAGCACACGTTGTATCTGTTTGACTGTTTATCAAAGTAAGATATTTTAATTTTACTTTATCTTTTTAAAAAATATTTCCTCGCTACGTTTTTACATGCTCGTTTTTACATGCTCAACTGTTATTTGCTGCGCAAAATACGTTAAACAACCGTAGCTCAGGAACTTTTTAAAGGATAAAAGCTCTGCGTTGTCTAAAATAGCATAAAATGTCCCTAGTTGCCGAGCACAAAATATGCATGATCCTAAATAAAAATCTCGGCTACGATTGGATAATTGGTGAACCGTGCATGAAGATGCCAATTACAAACAAGAAAGAAGAGCCTGGGAACGAGGTAGCCTTAATGGACGAAAACACATTAGTCATAGCCATTTGGGTAGGCGTTTCCAGGCCTTAAAATATCTTTTACAGGGCCGTTTGACAAAATGCCCGATGACGTTGAGTTGGCGTCGGACATATGTCCGATCACCTCCAGTTCAGTTTTGACTCGGAAATAACTCTGAATGACACAAATAAATATCAGCACAATGTACTGTATTAATTCTGAAGGGTAAATGTGGTGAAGATATTAAATAATTTGTTTCTTTCATACTTATTTCCAAGCTAAAATTAACTTGCTTTCCAGAACAGCAGTATTAAAAAGATTTCGACAACTTAAGCCCGTTTTCCACTTCACCATATCGCTCGCCTCCCCATGCTCAACTACGTTAAAACAAAATTTCCAGTTCACTTTTTATACAATAGCACTCTGATTTTCCATTTAAAATACAAGTCTCTAGTCCTGGGCTAGGGTACATTTTGATTTACGTTGGACAAAGCTACAGTTCGGTCGGACACAAATGCACTCGGGTCCGGGACAAACAATAAACCTCAGTTTCACTTAGGTCGGACAGAATGTCCGGTGGTTTCCTCTCTACGTCGCACAATTTCACGAGTGGATCGGACAATGTCCGTGACCGACCAATATTTTAAGGCCTAGTTTCCTCGACGACGCTCTCTCTTCTTCCGCCCACACCAAACGCCTGCTACGCAAGCTAGGTCCGAACTAAAAATCTGAACCTGTTTTCGTTCAGATTTGTACTGATACATATACTATACGGAAAATATAATACCTTTTCTGAATATCAGCAACGAATTTTTGGCTCTTAGATTCATCACTTGTTACGCCCCTATCTGCCATCTTAACTTCTTTAATGCTATCTCCAATTAAGCCAGCGACAAACTGTATTACCAAATGCCACTTGGGATTTTTAATATTAGTCGCCAAAAACTGCTCAACGTTATCCATATCATCAACCACCTTTGATGCAGCAAGAAACTCCTGCAGGGTCAAATGTAGAAAACAAAAAAAGTTCTGCCGTTTGTCTGGTAATTGGTAGAAAAGGCCACAATTGGCCAGGTCGCCAAATTCATCTCCAGTCGTTCGCTCAAAAATTAACCTGTCCTGACTAATTCCACTTTTCGCAATGTCCATTAGCTTCATCAAGTCAGTTTCGAGTTCTTTGGGAAAAGGGGTGATAAGATAATCAATCGGTCTTGGTTGCAACTTGTATACTGGATGGTGTCGATACAGTAAAACTTTTACTGCTCTTTTGTACAGTTCAGTCATAGTTTTTGGAATATTCCTGTGTAAACGCTTGGGAAGTTGTGCCCCGCTTTCGTCAGTTTCAAGGCTTTCCTTCAAAGTTAAACAAACGATATAACTATTAACAGGTATATAACACAAGCTGAGCAATTCGGCCGATTCTTTGATTTCATTCCAAATCAGTTCACTGGTAGTGTTATTCTCGCAAAATTTGAAAACATATTCTTTAATTTGCTCTTCAAAAAACCCCAAAATTTCCACTGTTCTGTCAAATTTGAGCCTTTGAAAAACACGTTGTGCCGTTGGTCGTGACGTGGTCAATACTGTCACACCAGGTAGCAATTTACCACACAACAATTTTTTCAAAATTATAAACACTGGCATCTTTTCATCCAGATCATTAATTGCCTTTATCTTTGCATCCACAAGCTGGTTGTCAACATTAAGCTCGTCCATTCCATCAAAAATCAGCACGGTTTTAATTGGGTTTGACAATATCGAATTATACACAGTTTCAAAGTCATCTGGTGAGAATCCTTCACCGTAAGCCAACATTTCTCGAAGAGTAATGTTTTTGTTGTTAAATGTACGAAATTGAAGCAAGATTACCATTTTCTCATGCCAGAACTCGTCTTCTTTCACTTTCCATTGGTGTAAAAGCTTCTTTGTTAGCATGGTCTTACCAATTCCTGGCCGCCCTATAACAAGAATGGTCCGTGGATACGTCTGCTTCTGTTCGCCATGTTTTGCTTTTAATATATTAGCTGTATTTGTAAGTTTAGTAACTGTGCTTGGGGCTTTGAGATGGCATTGGTAAATTGCATGCCTTTCAAATTCGCTTGGATAAGCGTTCATGTGTTCTCTCCCGTCTTGAATGACGACATTGACATATATATCTTCAAGAGGTCGCATGGAAATTTGAGTACCACCAAAATCATCTTTTAATTGAAAGACCTCTTCATCATCAGAACCGAATCTATCTCGAACTTTGTTCACCAATTTTCTAATTCTTTTTCGCTTTCTCAACAAGTACACCACACAAAATTCTTGGTCGGTCATGAGATCCCTGTCATTGAAAGTCAACCACGCGATGTAGCAAAGTTCCAAAAAGGTCACTGTCACGAAAAAAACATCCACTGTTGCAACGATGTGGATCAAGGTTTTACTTTTTCCGCCGATGGGATTTGTACATTCAATAAAGGTTAAATTATGTTGTGAATTACCCGTATCATTAAAACTGTAAGTGCTTTTCCCTTTCATTTCAGGCCGCCATGGACACATGAAATTGTTAGGAAACTGAGCTGGGTAAAATATCCAAAGAGCAAATGTCAACAACGGAATTATACGAGCGATGAACAAATGAATAATATAAATACAAAATGTTGAAAAATGACTCAAACATTCACGAACATCACTCGGGTTTTGAACGGGACTTGACGAGGACCGCATCGTTTGATTTTCATCGTCATCATTACTGGAAGTTGCCGTTCCGATCGAATAATCAAATTTTTTAACGCGATGTTTCACCAAGTATGCATAGATTATACTCACAACAAAAACGATGCCAAAATGTACGATGAACATAGCATACATAGGCAGGATAAAGAGGAATCTCTCTTGATACTCGAGAGAACATTTTATGTTAATGTCTTTTGTTAGAGCAAGATTCGCCCTCTTCGAAATGGTCTCGTCATAACAATGAAATGATGTATCGAAGGTTAAAGAACCCGAGATGCTGATAACTACGACAGCAAACAACCCGAATAACGTGAGAAAAACAACACCATAAGTATTGAAGCTCTTTCGAGGTAGATAGTCAACACAATTTTGCATCTTTAAAACCTACAAGATAAACAAGGCTTGTTAGTTGTGCAGTCGAGTGCGACACTCCATTTTCATTCCCGTCAACGCACTACTGCATGTAGGTGTTCCTACTGTCGTTCTTGCATGGCTTGCATGGCTTCTTGTTTCCAACGCATGTTGTTATTGTGTCGCGAATATAAATGAGGTTACATAGTAACCAAGGTTAATATCATAGGAACCGCGCGCAGTCTGGGTACGACATGTGCCCTCAGGATATTGAATCATTGCAGGCCATTCGCTAACTCATAGCCAACTGCAGTAATCTAGCTATTTAGGGTAGAAGCCAAATTTTTTTTGTTTTCGTGACGACAATGGACTTTCGGTTTAATTTCTATCAAACACTTAGTTCGGTGTGATAAGGTGTAGACGTTCGGTGGTCGGGTCCTGAGTGGACAGGTTCACGTGAACGACGATAACACAAGACAGTCGGGAGCCGATTTGACATTGCCTAAACCAAAAACAAATAGTATGAAAAATGCATTCTCCCACAGAGTCTGGAACTGCCTTTCTGCATCGGTAAAAGCATCTAATTTTAAGCCTCACTTTAAGCCTAACTTGAAGCATGCAAATTAACATCAAGTGATCCTGCCATTGTTTCCATCTACCAAAAATAATTTTCTTGCAATTAGTTCTTATCTATATTTCTGCTTGTGAGAGCACAGCCAGTTGGAAGATCCCTTTTTTTTGTTTTTATATTTTGTACATAATTAATTTGTTGAAATTGTACCGTGTTGAAATATAGTAAATAATAATAATAATGGAAACTTTATTTTGACATTTTATGTATATACAATTATAAATCTCACTAATTAAGGTAATTTATAATTGACTACTTGAACTATTAATTATTGATAAAACTATAATTTATTGCAGGTTAAACTAAGAGAAAGCTCACTCATTCTTAAATGTTCATCAAGTCCGGATCGGTCCAATCCTTGTTTCTACAACAAAATATATAGTACGTTGTTCTGATGGCGATGGACATTATTTTCTTAACACAAAAGATGTTTTTATCAAGACCAACTTCGTTCAACATTTTCATAAACGTGCTACATTCTTTTGAGAAAACACCTAAAAAATGTTTTCAAAATTCCGAGGTTGGAAAAAAAAAATGAAAATTTTTTCAAAATTGCGAGGTTGGGAAGGCACTAATAGACAAATTAATAAATTTGACAGTTTTGAAATGGTCTTTCTGCTGTGTAATTAGATCCTTGTATCTTTCCCTTTTGCGATCGACGTTGTTTTGGAGATTGGATTCATATCCGACAGAGAGTTCGAGTATGTGCAGACAATCATGTGAAATCGAAAGAAGCAGATCTGGGCGATAAGTGTCACCGGTTATTATTGATGGGCTCTTGTATCCAGGAAGATCAACAAATAGCGTGGAGTTGTGTTCAGGTTGGAATATTTTTGCGACAGAATTGAGAATGGAGTCATGTCTCCAAGTAAATCGTGGAAGGTATGACTGGCATCCCGCGACTACATTATTGACTGCAATATATCGAATAATGCCGTTTGTGTAAGTGCCGTTTGTGAGTGCCGTTTGTGTAATGCCGTTTGTGAAGTGATTCAGGGTGTAAGCAGAACGAGCAGTCAGAATTTGATGAAATTCCCCATTTACTGAGGTTCTTTCGGGTAGGAAGGGTATTATTTATATATTAGGATGTTAGGTTGATGTAATCCAAGTGAGAATATATACATTTTAAGACCTAACCAGGAACGACTGCGAAAAATGCAGCACAAAGTCCTCTGGTAGGAATCGAACCTACGGCCCTGCGATTCCGGAGCAGCGCTCTAACCAACTGAGCTACAGAGGCCAGCTGTTGAGCTGTAACCGTAAGTTCATGTATATATAGGTAATCGGGTGTGCGAATTGTGATAAGGTGGACTTGAATAACTTAGTTCCTGCAATAAGTTCTTTGAATGTTTGCATGGCGATAAAATAAAATTGTTTTTGTTTGTGGAAACACCACGTAAATTTATTACTGCAAAAATTGTAATTTATTACTGCATTATTACCACTGAGCTGTATAATAACTGGAGGATCTGCTCCTATACTTCGTTCAGTCAACGAAGTGTCCGCAAAAACATGGCGGATTTTGATGAAAAATGACGCCATTTCCATGACAACACTTACTTTATTCTCATAGTAGTTACCACTGACCAGGCTCAATTCTGAGCCCACGGCCGTTTTCACCCCCCCCCCTGGTTTTTGCAAAAAAGTTTAGCAGATAACATAGTTCTCGACTTCTCGTTGTTTTGAACCTTCTTTAAAATGTTTTCGAGATAAACTTTCTGCCTTTGACCATTTGGCCATTTGGTCAAAGATATCCAAGTCGTACGTGTTTAATCTCGTCCGTGAAAGACGACAAACCAATTTTAAAAACTCAAGAAATGTGGGAAAAGACGATACTTGAAATATATAGATTTACACTCGGATTTACAAAGGTAAAAAACGTATTTTCATATTCAATTTTATTTAGACTTTTATATCTTATTTGACATCTATTATCAGACTATTTTTAAAAGAGGGAATTAGGTTTTGTGTTATGCACCACTTATGTATAAGCTGGGGGTGCTGGAAGCTGATCTGGGAAGGTAGTTTCTACCTAGCTTTCTTGCATGGTGGGGATACTTCTTCATTTTTGTGTCATATAAATAGTAATATAGAGGCTTGAGATAAATCACACTTCTCCCTAAACTGAGGTACTAAGGTTTAGCTGAGGTATGTGCCAAGGCATACATGTGTGATCACACCTCATTCCCAGGATGGCCTGTTTTCTTACAAGTTTTCTCAGTAAATATCACTCTGAATAAATAATGTACTTTTATATTAAGTACACTCATAGTTCTGATACCCCTGGTTTAAGCCGAAGAGTATGTTAGGTCACATTCTTTTGTTTACCTTGATCATATGCTATAATTATGTTACTGGTGGATTCTTGCACAACCTGAGTGTATAATTAATCTATATTTTATTGCAGATTTATTCCACAATGACACACTCCTTTGAAGTCCTTTCTGGGTGCCAATTGAAAATACAGTACCAAGCCACATCTTTGGAAACTGAACATACTGTATTTTACATGCTTCCAGAAATTATGTCACCTTAGGCTTAGGCTATAGAGTCACCTTAGGCTTAGGCTATAGGCTTAGGCTATAGAGTCATTTTCAGGATTGAGACATTGGACTAAAACTCATGCCACATACATGAAAACAAGGCTCCATAGCCAAAGTGACATACATTCTGGAGGGGTGTAAGGTGTATTTGACTTTTTGTAAAATTGTTAGCAGTAAACAATTTAAAAAACAAAAATGTATAATTTTAATTGCTATAAAACTTATTTACACTTCAATAAAGTTATGATAATCATATAATTATTTATTAATTATAATTAATTGTTATGTATGGTATTATAATCATAACTTCATTTTTTATTGTTCTGCATGTTCTTCTGCATGTTGATGCCTGTGCCATCTCTTTTGTATATTAAACGGATCATTTCTACAAAATAAAAGACAACATTATTATCATGATACATTATACATCTTTACACCACAAAATATCATATACACATATGTTAACCCTTCAAGTGGCAATGTGTTTTGATGTGCCTTACTGTATTATTTTTGCCTTACTGTACTATGTCAGACAATTTTACTAGTCAATTAGGGGAGAGTGCAATTACATGATCTGTTTTTACCAAGATTATTAATCCCAGCTTCTAAATTAAGTGTCATGTTTTCATATTCAGCAATGCAATTACATTCCCAACTAACTGCTAAAATATATCAAACTATTATTAGCAAATTTTGTCATAATTTCTCACAGAACAATCGCACATCACCACCTCCAATGTCAGTTACAAATGTTGTATGTTCTTGCCATGTAACTATGAGATCATATATAGTTCTGAATAGACAATGGTAAAATGTTATCTATTTTTTAAGACTCTTCCCTTGATGAGTAAAACAACTGGATTTAGTCTCACCGATAGAGTAAAATAAAACGGGGACCGTAGAGCCTGTTTAAAAGTGGGGGGGGGGGCAGGATAGCATGGGTCAGGAGCTATTTCACATTCTATAGGCAGGCTGTCCAGAATTTAACCAGTAATTTTTTATTATCCACTGAAAAAGTGTGTTGGGGGGGGGGGGCACGGCCCCCCTATTCTGCAATCTCAGTAAGAAAGTAGCTTGTTCATTTGGGTACATTGCAATGCAGCTTAATGGGCTGACTATATATCTCAGGGGCTGCTCATTGGCAGATATATAGGGTATTAATTAAATTGACCCACTGTGAGGCAGCAGTGAGCAGTCTGCTCTTAATATCATCTGGCATTAGACAAACAGAGTAAAATAATAAAGACAGTCTTTTATATAGGGCTCATCAGGACAGGGCACATTGTCACATGTAGGTGGGCCTCCTCTACTCAAGTCTCTCTGGCCTTGTGCTTATCTATGACTATATATACTAATTCTGCATTATGATGGGGCAAGTATATAAATTTCACACCATATTAAACCTTTATGAACATGTAAACAACCACAATTTATACAAGTAATTAAAAACTGGCTTACTGGCAGTCTGGCAATATTAAAACCACAAAGGGCAGGGCCGGCAGACCAGTGCTGACACTGAAAACAACATAATTTAATGTAGTACACAATATTTAATCATTAACAATATTTTTATGTATGAAATATTTGCTGTATATATTAATAGGATGAGTTTTTGACATAATATGAAGGGTCTAGTGGACTGAGTGACTCAGAGTCTCAGACTAGCTAGTCGTCTAGAAAGTTTAATATAAAAAAGTTTCGTGAATCTTACCTGAAAGAATTTACAGTCTTTCTTTTTAGTTTCTCTGTAGTAAAGTGCTGCATCCACAAGCGAAGCAAACCGTTGTTGTAAAACAAGTAATGTGCGAGGGAAATATTAAGATTTTTACTCAAAAACAACAGAAAACTTGAAATATCTTTATATTATTAAATATATCTGTGCAAAAACCAGGGGGGTTAAGGACATCTTCGAAAGCTTAGGATCGCGGTTGGTCAGTGGCAATTACCATGAAAATAAAGTAAGTGTTGTCATGGAAATGGCGTAAGATCCGCCATGTTTTTGCCAGTGAACTAAAAATACCTGGAACGCTACCTCCTATAAGATTGGCTTATGATTGGATGAAGCCAAATTTTACCTCCAGCCGCGCGTGTTTTACCTCCAGACACGCGCGTTTGTGTTGCGAGACATTCTCGCGAGACCATTTCGGCAGTGACTTGAATGTTTTTTTCTCGGGCGAATGGACCGAAAATTGTCGTTTATTTATGGTTTTAAGCTATATTTTTGTATTAAAAGTACATTTAAAACATATGTTGAACTCTACCGAATAAAATTGCAAGGAAGGGAGTAGCTGATTGGAGATAACAAGTGCATATTTGAATGACTGGAACGTTTTATATATGTAGATGAAAGTTGAGAAAGATAAGTAATTCTTTATTTTAACGTATTAAACATATATTTATAACATCTTCATAAATTGTTGAACAAAATAAGTTTATTTAGTCTGTACCTATCACTTTGTTTGCCTTCGTTGACGACTTGTTCTGTGTATTTCTTGCCGAATGTGAATAATCGCAACATGAAATACTTGTCCGCGAAAAGATTTTTAATGTCTTTAATGTTTATATTTGTTATTTTGTACCTTTAAAACTTAATAAATACTCTACTACAAAACATAATTAAACTGTGGTTAGTAGTTTGAGCTTGTTAGAATACCTTTTTTCCTAACTTTCAGACGAATAAATTGGAAAACGAAAGAGCAAAGTAGGGAAATTCACACAAATACGTATGATTAGACAACGGCAAGCTCCACTCCTCGCTCAAGGTTTTTTCTCAAGAAAGAAAATTTAATTACGAATTCTACACAAATAAATTAAAAATATTTTACTCTAGAGTTTTAAAGGATGTTTTTATTGTAAAAAATGTACTGGTAGGTGCATTTTATGTCGTCTTAAACGATGTTTTACTGCGTTTTTTTTTACCAAGTTTTGGAAATTTAAAAAAACCGCGTTTTCCCGTTACGCGAAAAGACTGGGCATGACAACAGTGGGCATGCCTGGGCATGGCTTCACATTTCCGGTTGAAGGTATCGTTCCAGTTACAGTATGAAGTCAGACGCAGATTGTGACCCACCAGGCAAAGTGGACCCAATGACCCACCGGGATCATTAATAGCAAAATTTAGCAAAACATGTGTATAAATTAATAAAGCTTGAATATCGTGACTTCTTTCGGATAACGTGAGTTCGTACAGATTGATTCTACATTCTACAATTGCGGTACAGTGTAGCCTTCCAGCGCAATTACGAAATCAAACCTTTAAAAAGTCTCTACGGAGGACACTATATATGTTCTCAAGCTGCGCACAACACATTTTCACGTCACCAGAAGCATAAGTAATTAGGTCAAAATGCACGATGGCGGAATTCGGTTAAAAAGTGTTATGCGAATACACTTGATATTTGTCATGAATACTGATACAATAACTTGTGTTCTCTTTCATTCCACTATAGAGTGGTGCCGGCTCGACAAGCCGTTGTACTCACTGTCGTCGTCAAATTCAACCTGAAGAAAAAAAGTTGAATTACCAAGACCAACCCTACCATGCAGATTGTTTCATCTGCGAACATTGCCGTAATCCTCTTGGAACTGACAGCTTTGTGAAGAGAGATGATAAACGTTATTGTCAAAAATGTTTTGAACGTCTCTTTGCTAAGGTAAGTCAACAAAGAGGACTTGAGTAATGTGGGGTAAGTAGTGGTAGATGGCACATTAGGGTAGGGTAAGATAGGGTTATGTATGAGATTCCTCGTGTCTCGCGCACAGTATAGGGTAAATTTGTGAATTGGCATGGGATCAAGATCAAAGGGAAATACATTTGTGCGCAAAAATGATGATATTACTGGTAAAGTAAATATATACATTAATATCAACAACAACCAAAGTCATCAATTGATATTAACAACAACGTGGACTACATGCATGCATAGTTCTCCAAGACCAAATCTGTTCCCGAGTTCTATTTCACTCCACTATTGACTATAGTATGTATAACATGACGTAGCTGCGCAGTTATTCACACTTTACACGCCCAGCCTGTAACAATGTTGAAAAACGCCCAGCCTGTAACAATGTTGATGAAAACAAGCTTGAACAATATTTTGCTGCCCATATTGTTCCCGGTTGTTAACAATATTGTTCAGCATTGTTCAGCCTGAACAATATTGTTAACAACCAGGAACAATATGGGCAGCAAAATATTGTCCAGGCCTGTTTTCAACATACAGGATTGGCGTTTTTTGCAGGGTAATAAAGGCACAGAATAAGGACACCCAGACGTCTGACTTGTTGGTTTGCCTTTGATTTTGGCATAATTAACCGTTGCAATTAATGCTGTCGCCATGTTACTACTTCCTAACCACTGCGCTTACGAGAGGCATCCACCCCCTTGAAAATAACGTACGCTCAGGGGGCGAATGCCTCTCGTACGCGCACTGGCTAGAAACATGGCGATTGTATTTTGATGACGAATCATTGAAAATCATGGCGTGACAGCGGTTACGCTTTTTGGCTGAGTTGGACTTCTGTGTGTCTGTATTCTGTGGTATTGGACAAAGTCTTAGATCTGCAATGTGTCATCTAAGTGATGCTTATCACTCTTTCGTAGACTTGCAATGCTTGTGGTGACACCATAAAAACTGCTTCAGTTGATTATGAAGGCAATTCCTACCACAGTGACTGCTTCGTATGCAGCGAATGTCGCAGTCCTTTGGCTGGAAAGAAGTTCCATAAGATGGGAAGAAAGCTGGTGTGTAAAGCATGCTACCGTGATAAGTATGCCAAGATTTGTGATTACTGCAAGCAAGTGATTGAAGCTAACATCAAGTTTGTTGTGGATGATGAGAAGACTTATCATCGTGAGTGCTTCACTTGCAGCAAGTGTGGTCGACCTATTGATGGAGAGAAATTCAACATGAAGGGAAACAACCGTATCTGTTTGAAGTGCCCTAACTGAGACTTCAACGAAGGAACTTTTCTTATGACTCTATATCTTTATATTCAATATATTTGTATCGAAAAAAATATGTTTTTGTTCCAAGAAAATAATTAAACGCAATGTTAAAATTGCCGCGTCGTGGATGAATATTTGCGAAATAAAACGTGTCTGATATTGTGCTGAGGATTCTTTACAATTGGAAATTGTACATTTTCAACTTTTTGATTAGTGAAAGTCCTTAGTAAGAAATTATTGTTTTTTAAAGACATGTACAATGTTCAGTATGCCCTCGAAAGAGCGTTTCTTGCAGTGTAAGTATTTATTCATGCAAGGTTGGCCGTTGTCCACTATATCAACTATATTCAAATCTATGCGGTTTCAGCCAACGGAGATCGGTAATTCAAACGTTTCAAATTGATAAAATGAGGTTGGATTTTTTGCCTCAAACGGAAAATGTTCCACAACATCGACCCACTATACGCTTAACAAGATTTGTTTTCGGTTTTGGTAGTTCTAAATCAGTTTCCAATTGCGCAAATTATGATTAACTATTGAGATATCTGAGCCTTACTATTAGGCTTTCTTTTAAACACGGTGCCTACTTCTCAATGAGAACCGAGTTTCCTGCTATACAACAGGAGGCTCTTCAGTTTAGCACGTCTAACATTAAGGTCATCTCAATTTAATCTTTGCGAAAGATCTTTTGATCTAATATGTCTTGCTCCAGTAATGCATTCTCTATAGCAACACGATTTGGAACCGTTTGCAATTAGTCTTTTAATTAATGTCTTATCACATTTATCCCACAAGGGGGAACGATAAGCATCGATGAGGAGAGAGCATAAGGGAATAAATTGTTTAACTTTCCTCGAATCATCTCTGCCAGAACAGATCATTTGGTATAGTCTTCAACATGAATATCGAAAGGCAACCTCTCATCAAAATCATGCAACCCCCCAAACATTTGTGAGAGACAACAGAAAACACAACCGGCTATTATTCATATAGTGATGCTTGCCAGTGAAAATCACCAGCTTCAGGGTTCATGAAATTAGGTCCTAGATCTTATGATCACGAGCTTAGTTTAATTGGCGGAATGAGATTGGATTTTATTTACGGTTAACCGATCCATTTAATTTTCTAAGTCATAATGTAAATTATTAGCTAATTCAGCACGATCATGCAGCGATAAGGCAAATATTTGCATATAATTGGCTTATAAGCAGGCCAGCAGGGTGTTGTTGACTTTTGAATTAAAGTTTATTTGAATTAAAAACAGTAAAGGGCCAATACTTATTGATCCTTGAGGATCCTACATATTATTTCGCCTTTTAGATTTTAGCCGAGAAAGCCATCTATTTGGCATTGTTGATGTCAATTTGGAACCATTTATAAATATTTGTGAAACTCCATAAAATGCCAGTTACTGAAGCAGAATATCACTGATCTATACATAATCAAATGCTATACAGTTATCAAGGTAAACAACCCATGTTAATTTACCGTTATTCATATTATTAAACCACTGCGCGCATCACACAGTTACATTAAAGCAGTAAGTGCAGAGTGACCAATTTTGGCGAATTTAGGTGAACTTCACTTAAAAGTTTGTAAAGTTGTTGGAAAATTTCTTGTTCAACCTTTAAATAGTTAGGTTTTCATTGGCAAACATTTGTCTCCATGAAACGATTAGTCGTGTAAGGAACTTACTGGAAGCCTACTGCCTCGATTTCGTGATTGAGGTATTCAGTTAAGAGCCCTTTATTTAATACGGTTTAATATATTAGAAACCAAATATATTATAATAGAAATATTTGTGGAACTAAGGCCATATAAAATAAATTCCTAGATTCTCATCACCGCCCGACGATATTTTGGTTTCCGCGTTGATATATTTTTGTATTTTGTTATAAAATATAAATTTACCGCCCGACCGAGCATCTTCAGAGATTTAGTTATTTTTATATTTTATATTGGAATTTTTGCGATATAAAATTGTTTTATCGTTAATATTGCAACATGTTAAGGGATGCTTGGAATACTGAAGGAAAAAATGGGCTTATCGCCTTATTACAACGATTTGTGTGGACCCTTATGCATGTTCATTAGCGCATGTGCAATTATCCACTTATATAGCGTTCTTCTATAATATATTTAAGGGCAAATATAAAAAGACCTCCCTCTCCAATTTTTTAAATTTTAAACATTGTTTTTTATATTTTGACATAAAATATAAAATATAAACCTCCCGCCTCCTGGGAGTTTTAAAATTTAGCGATGAGAATTAAGGAATTTATTTTATATGGCCTAATGGACATTACCCAAAGATAAATTGATTAAATTTTGGTTAAATTTGGATGACAATTGGACGAGAAATTAGTAAACTGGTTTGTCTTGCTTCGCCATAATACAAAGTAAACAGAATGTGCAATTATCACATTGTATAATCCCCGAGCCATGCGCGTAGCGCGAAGCCCGTGGCGAGGGTACTAATTCCACTCGGCTACTTACACCCGGGGAAAGGAAAGCATTAGCGAAATCTAAAGTTCATCAATAATCACGGGCGCATGGCTATACATGGGTGGTCATCTCACTGATCTCAAAAATATAACTATTTGCCAGGAGTGAAGGAAGCAAAGATTATTAGATTAAACTGAACATGCATGACAGAAAGCTTGGACATCTTTTGACACAATGAGTTGTAAATCATCTTTTTCAAATTTTAAAGAAACGATAAGCATGAGAAATCCTGAAGTACAGGGTAAGTTTGTTTTCACTGTTTATGTATGATTTTGCTGTCCAGTTCTTGCCTGAAGGCCTTGAACGTGTACAGCATTCCTACTTTATATATATATATATATATATATATATATATATATATATATATATATATATATATATATATATATATATATATATATATATATATATATATATATATATATATATATATATATATATATATATATATATGTTAGAAATCAATAGTCCTGTGCCGGTTAAAAGTGTGAAACATTCATTTATTTTTGCCGTTTTGAACAAAAAATTAAGAAAACAATTATCGTGTTGCCTGCGTTACGTGTTGGCGTACGTAACTGATACTTCACTCAAGCAAACTTTGCGTTTACAAAAAGTCGTGTCGTACTGCGCGTATCATATTTCCAACTTTTGCCTATACAAATCACCCCAAAATTTGATGTTTTTTCGCTTACGTTTGCTCTACGATTATATTTGTGTTCAGTTTCCCCCGGTGTAGGAAAGAATGAGCCTTTAGACGTCTTTTGAATGTACTTTTATGGGAAAACAATACTTTATTCGAAGGGCACTTTTCGTTTGATTATGCGCTATATTTATATAGGAAATTCCCCTCGCGCGCAGTCTCTGTTAAAGAAAACTGGCACTAGGACCTTATGCGCAGGTCTTTGACGAAATTTGGCGCTGTTTATTCATGTTTATTCATGGCGATTTAGGAAGGGCACAATGAGCGCAAAGATGTGGGTTTTGCTTGTGTTTACAAGCTCGTTACAAGCGTTTAATTCACTTGGTCTTGGCTGCAGGAGATGGTGAAGGGACGTCTCAGACTCAATCTCTACCTTATATATCTTATATTGTAATTGTACACCAGATAAGTGTTGAACAATTGTAATGATTTTACGTTTAGTATAATGTACTTTTTAGTTATACTGCGTCATTATAATTGAAGTTTATGCTTGGGAAATGCTGCTTAGTAATATACATTTTCTGATTAATACCGTATAGTTAATACTTGATTTACACTATAACATCAGAATACAAACGACAAGAGGATCAAAGTTAAGATTCGTGTTGGCCATTGTTGTCAATCGTATTCATACAATGCGTTTTCTTTTCTAGTTTTTTTAGCAGGTTTACTCGATACCTCACTCGATTTATAAGCCAACGCGGTCTGGTGCTCGAAGCGTGCGCTTTGGTCTCTTCGCCATATAATAAAGAATAAAAAGAATGTATTACAAAACCAGTTTAGCATAGCTAATCTTACATTGGGCCTTAAAATGGCGCGACTGTAATTTCACATTAAGCGACTGGACACTACTTTGAGCAAATATGCATGTTGAAACAATGTTTGGAAAATGTGGACGAGGGGTGGTTGCATGCATGTATTTCTAGTTTATGCATAATACATAACTCATTTCACTAGCGGCGGTATGCAGTCTTCGAGTGCCATACATATAGAAACTTTATTTAAGCACGCCAGCCTCAACAAATACTAAAGCTGCATGGTTTTCACGAGGGGGTGATCAGACAATACATAATAAACAATATATATATATATATATATATATATATATATATATATATATATATATATATATATATATATATATATATATATATATATATTCTTTGTTTAATAATCGTTTCAATTTAAGGCACTTGGGGATGGGGGTAATTTTTGCCTCATAAGGTAGGTTATTCCAAAGTGCAGCATCATTATAGTTAAAGCACCTCTTGCCGAAATCTTTCTTCGGCTTAGGAAATGCTAAGTGAGTTTCTCTATTTCTAAGATTGTAGGTGTTATCCGTTTCTTTATTTAACTAGAAGGATTCTCTTAAATCACTAAAAACCTCGACTTCGTCTTGGGAAACATTGAGACTCTCGCGAAAACAAAACAATTTCCCTCGGGAGCAGAAATTAAGTGTATATTATTGCCCCAATAGCAGCACCAGCTTTTGAACATATGGACTAAATATGTATTTCCATACAGGTATATATATCAGACTTATTCGTCCATCTATATTGATTCACGCCCTTAAGGTATGAATACTTCTCAGTCCTAGGTATTGGCCTGTTATTTATTAGAATTGAATCACTAGATATATTTTTTTCAATATTATACGATGATCCAATATACTTATGGTTAGACTCATTAGGGTGAATTTGAAGCTTGTTTTTATCATCCATTTACGGAATGATATTTTCATACATGCAAGATCAAGATTTATTTAATTTGATTACAAGGTGAACGCAATCGTTAGCCGGGATGCATGAACTACTGTGTCATCAGCGTAGAGAGATGGAGGGAATCGGGCAAGTCATTTATATGCAATGAAATATAACAGAGGATCCAAGATTCACCCTTGTGGAACCCCAACTAACTTGTGGTGACTCGCAGTACATAAATTTTAAATTGTTACACTGCAGGAA